CCCCCAGCTTTCTGATCGGAGAAGACGGGCTCGTGTATGAGGGCCGGGGCTGGAAAACCAAAGGTGACCACACAGGTCGCAGCTGGAACGCCATGTCTATCGGCATCACCTTCATGGGCAACTACATGGGTGAGTGACTGTCCAGCCAGTCAGGATCGGGGGCTGACATGGGCCTGGAGGGTGTCACAGCATGGTGTATAGAGGCTCTGCCACCCACAAGCTCTGTGACCTTGGACAAGTGACTCTGCTTTTCTGAGCCTTATTTCCTCCTTTTTGGATAATGACCATTTTCATTTTCAACCACCTGGTTCGGATGAGGGTTAGTTACTCTGTATTAAAGTCCTTAGGCCAGTCCATGGCACCGAAGAAGTGCTTCATCATAGCACTGGGGGGATCGGACCTTAGGCCTGCAGACAGAGGAGAATCAGCCATAATCCTGATGGCCAGCACCTGCTGTGCCAGGTGCCATTTGGTGGGCTTACGGTCCCATAGCCCTGTGACAGGTGAGGAAACTGAGACACAGAGGGGTTGAGTCTCTGCTAGGGAGTGGCAGACCGGGTTCTGGATTCTAGCAGGCCAGCTGGGAGTGCACAGTTAGAACCACTACCCCACACTACCTCTGCCCTTTGGGGGAGCCCCAACTTAACTCCTGCCTCTGCCCCTCCAGAGCGGTCACCCCCGCCTCGGGCCATCCGGGCGGCCAAGAGTCTGCTGGCTTGTGGAGTGGCTCAGAAAGCTCTGATCCCCAACTACGAGGTCAAAGGACACCGGGATGTGCAGCAGACCCTCTCTCCAGGGGACCGGCTCTACGACATCATCCAGGAGTGGCCACACTACAGGGAGTGAGGCCCTGTCTGTCTCCACCCCCAGTAAGGAGCCCACGGCCTCCCGCTTCAATAAAGGTGCAACTCAAACTGTGCTCCTGTGTCCCGCAACACACCTCCCTCTCACAAAGACCTCAGCCAGCCCCCCACCCCCCACCTCCCAGCACTCTGTCCTCGCTGGTACTCGGAACCCAGAGGCCCAGGCCCAGACCCTGAACCAAGACCCAAGAGATCTCAGCTCAGAAGCAGCATCACAGCTCAGAGCCCAGAGGTCTCAGGTGAGAGTGCAAGAATCAGCACCAAGCCGGCCCAGATGTCACTGGCAGCAGCTCGGGGGTCCTCCTTGGCAGTGAACCATGCTGCAAGACACCCCTCCCCACCACATAGCCAAAGATATATTGTGCAGAGTCTCTGCTTGGACCCCTCTGGGGATGGGCTGCTCACTACCACCCCGCAGGTCCCCGACTTTCACTGCTTTAGAGAGTGCAAGATTCTTCCTGAGCCTGAACCCCCAATCTGGCCCCCCAGTCACAAACATGCCCAGAAACGCACACAGGTCCCAACTACACCGCCCCACAATCCTCCTACCTCTCCCCTTCACCCCCACCCTTCAGTTATAAGCTGAGGGATCCCAAGGTCAAATATGTTTATTTACAAAATGCACAGACCCTCCCTCCCAGCGTGCAATGCCTGGGGAGGAGGAGGGGGAGGGGAAGCCGGAGGAGTAAAGGCCTCACACACCGGAGACCCCAGAGCACCAGGAGGGGCGGGGCCTGGGCGGGGCTGGAAGGAAACACCGGCCCCGCCCCCACTCCGAATCCCCGGCGGGCAGGGCCTGGAGGGGCGGGGCTGCCTCTCCGCGGTCAGGAGCGCGTGTCCAGTCTGTTCATGTATTCCTGCAAGGCCTTCAGGCGCGCGTCTATCTCGGCTATGTCGGTCGCCTGGTAGTCGGAGCTGTATTCTGTGAGAGCAGGCGTGGGTGTGGGGGGCTCTAAGGGACCTGAAGCCACAGGGAGCTCTGCCCTCAGTTCCGCCCCAGCAGGCTCTGGGGCATGTGAGGGGAAGATGTGGAGTCCCGGGCTCACCTTTGATGGGGACCCAGGCCCCCGAATTGGCCAGGCATCTCTGATGGCGGCCACGCTCCATGGGGGTGGACTTCTGCAACTGGGGGAGGCATGAGGAGTCAGGCACCCTCCCTCTGCTCCTGCCCCCCAAATGCCATCAGAAACTCTGAACCTAAGGACCTCAGAAAAAATAAGAGCTGACACCTATTAGGCACCTATGTAAAATAGCTGTATCTTCACCAAAACCCTCTGAGGTGAATACTGTCACCATCCCCATTGAACTGATAAAGAAACTGAGGCACAGAGGCTGAGAAAATACCTTGGAGTCACACAGGTGGTAGGAGGCGATTTGTGGCCGCAGCTGGTGCTCTTAACCAGCGTCCTCTGCCCCCACCCCCCATCCTCCCCTCTAATCCAGTGGTCTCAACACTGGGTCCAGAAACAGTGCAGAGGCGCCCCTGCAACCTGACCCCCTGAATAGAATCGGGGAGAAGGGAACATCGGCTTCCGGTGGTGTCATGTTGCCCCACCTCCTCCGAGGCCTGAGGAGAGACACTCACCGTATTGGACTCACTCAAGGCTGTGGGGCTGGGGGCCTTCCCGCGGCGGCAGCGAACGCTGAGGGAGGAATCAGGATCAATGGGAGGAACCTTGGGCACCTCCCACCTCACCCTCCTCCGAGGTTTCAAGGCTCCATCACTCAATTTCCCCGCCAAAGCCTGTTCCCAGTCTCCTCGGCCGCTTGTAAGGAGGCAGTCCCTTCCCCCAGCCCAAGTTTTACCCTCTAGGGAGGGATTCGGAGAAATCCTCGAACTCGCTGCAGGAGCTGGCGGACGAGCAGCGGCTGCGGAAACTGTCCACTAGGGGGAGACGGAGACGGTGAGCCCCCGGCACTGCCCGGCCCGCCCAGCCCACCTGCCGGCCCCGCGGGCTCCGGCCTGGTTACCCGAGGAGCTGCGGTTTCGGGAGCGGTTAGCCGCGTCCCCTCGGCTGGTCACGGAAGCAGGGGGACGAGTCTGGCGAGCCCAGGAGATGGACGGCCCGTCCCCGCTTCCTCCACTGCCCAATCGGTTCCGCTGCTGCTGCCTGGGGAATCCAAAGGAGACGCGAGCCTGGAAGGGGGTCGCTGCACCCCAGTGGGTCACAGCCAGGGCAAGTGACCCGCCTGAGGTCACGAGAGGGAAGGGGAGCGATGGAGCAGGTTACAGGTGATGGAGATAGATGGGAGACGGGGACAGAGGAGGGGACCAGCTAAAAGGGCAAAGATACGGGCAGGTGAGGGGGAAGTGGATGCTAACTTCATCTTGATCTCTTTCAGCTTCTTCTCCTTGGCTTTCACAAAGGCTGTGGGGTCAAAACGGGGCAAGCGACCACCTACGATGGGGTGGAGGGGTGTGGAGAGAAGAGGCTGGGGTCACAGGATCGTGCCTCCACCACTCTAGTCCGTTCCACTTCCTCCCACCAGCAGGGCAGGGCTGGCACAGACCTGTGGGCGAGGGCGAGGGGCGGGCAGGGCGGCCTCGACCCCGGCCCCCGCGGCCACTCTCCCGGGATGAGGAGCGGGTGGCGCCACGACCACGCGACGTGGAGCGCTCCCGGGACGACGAAGTCCGGTCCTCCCGGGCTGGGTGCGGCACCACCGGCGGGGTCCGTCTCCTGGGAGCAGAGGACCCCATTGTCAGTTTCTTACCGGCCATGACAACTCCTAAACCAGGCCTCTTTCCGGATCTCACCATCTTCGGGCCTCAACACCTCCGAACCTTCAGGTCCATTAATTTCTAGCCATTCGCGCCCTCGCATATGCACACGACCTCACACGACCGTCTCCCTGGCTCTGCCCCTCTCGGAGCTACACTACCGCTTCCAAAAGCCACCACCTGTCACTTCCCCACAGCCTAACCACCGCCCTTCACCTGACCCTTCTTCCTGAGGTCTCCCACAGCTCCCCGCTTTTCCCTCACCAATTTTCCGCCACCCATCCCCAATAAAAACCTGCGGAAATCACCAAGATTCCCACCTGCTGGGCCTCGTCCTTTCGTTAAGCAAGACCCTCAGGCCCCGCCCCTTTCCCAGTCCCTTAGCCGGGCCCCAACCCCCTGAACACCGCCTCAAGCCCCGCCCATCTCTCCAGCCCCCACTCACCTTTTCCAGGGTCCAAGTCCCCCACGCCGCACGCAGTGCACTAGGCCCCTTCTAACCCTCCACCCTCGCCCGTCTCAGGTCCCACCCTCCCTCTCCATCCAGCGCGGGCCCCGCCCG